ATACAGCTTTAGGGAACTTAAGATTTCAGTTGCAGTGCAGTTTTGAAGTTTACAACCAACCCAGGGCCAAGTGGTCTCGGAGAACGACGTAAACCCTGTCAGCGGTCTCGCGATTAGCCTGCAGAGTTTCATCGATTGAGTAGTGGTTGTCGTTCAAAATCATATGGTATCACAAATGGTCCAAATATATATCCAACTGGGGACGGTCACCTAAACCAGCCTTACTTAATCTAGAAAAATCGAAACGAGCTTGGCGCGAATCTCCTAAATAAAAAATTTTATTATATTTTACTTTACATACATTTTCCTGCCAGGTTATAACTTGTAATCCGTATGCGTGTTCAGCTCATAGTTAAATACTAAAAAAGAATTCGGAAGCAGCGCAAAAGGGCAAAAATGTAGAAAAAATTGCCAAAAGCAACTTAAAAATAAGGAATAACAGCTACGAAAGAATGATGGTACGAAAAAACTAAATGGCGAAAATTCTTCCAAAAATAGTAGTAACGGCAAAAGTTGAATGCGAGATGCCGCAAATGCCTTGCCACATATGGCATACAGCGCACGTACTAGAGCACATAGCATGCTAAAGAATTTGGCATGTGCCTATGTGGCATGCAGGGCCTGACTTTGTGCCGCGCTCAGCGTGCGATATGCGGTATTCATAGGCGCGCAATTTAATAGTGACAGACAACCTTTTCGTTAGCGCCATAACCAATGAAGCAGACACAATGCCCAATAGGCACGCGTACATACACACATAAATTCGCACACAAGCGCTGGGAATAAACGGCTGCTGTTTTTGAGCTGCATATAAATGCCAACAATTTGCTGTTAATGCCACCAATACACAAATAAACTATACAGAGTAAACAAGGCAAAACACACACACACACAACCACATATATGTATTTGTATGCCTATGTGCACATGTACATGCACATGCATGTTTATTCGTGTTTAATGTATGAATGCTGAACTTTATCGTTTCCCCCCCATTATTATTGCTTACCCACATCTTACTTATCTTACTACATATATGTATGTATATATGTACGATATGTAATCCTCTTTTCTCTTTTCCTGCAGATTCGCATGCACATCACGAACAAATGGCAAATCAACAGCCGCCTGGCATCATTGGCGGTGTACCTGTGCCCGGTCGAATGACCGGTGCGACCAGCGCCACTGCCAGTCCGGCCAATATTGGCGGTGTGGTAGGTGCTGGTGGTGTGCCCGGAAGTGTTGGCCTCGGCACATCCGCCACCGCAGCGGTCAACGAGTTTAGCATTTTGAATTCATTTTGGTTTGCCTTGGCCGCCTTCATGCAACAGGACTGCGACATATCACCGCTTTCCATCTCCGGTCGCATAGTTGGCGCCGCTTGGTGGTTTTTCACGCTCATTCTAATTTCATCGTACACAGCCAATTTGGCAGCATTTCTCACAGTCGAACGAATGGTGACACCAATCAATTCACCCGAAGACTTAGCTATGCAAACGGAAGTGCAGTATGGTACGCTGTTGCATGGCTCTACGTGGGATTTCTTCCGGGTAAGTA